GCTGAGCCAACCATTTCTCGGTCAAAGAAATTTTTACACCTCCCACCTTTGAGGTGATTTCCAACCTCCCCCCATCCTTGGTCACACTCATGGGACGATAAAATTCTTTCACCAAACTTGGGTAGGTCTCGGTTCTAATCGCGAGATACCCATCTAACAAGCCTTGATAATTCAACAATTCCAACATAGAACTTGAAAAAGATTCGGGGTCAAAAGCTTTACCTTCCAAAACCGAGTAATGGGCATCCACCCATTCCACTCTTCTTGCGGTTTTTGACCTTCTAGGCATGATATGAGATGTCCAAGATGAAGTAGAACCAAAGCTTCTCCCTTTTCTTCTTTTCTTTTCTTTTCTTTTTCTTCCCCTTTTCTTCTTCTTTTTCTTTCTTCTCGGCCTAGACAGTCCGGTGTGGCGGCGGCGAGGCAAGGCGGCGACGGCGGAGTAGTGGCGTCGGCGTAGCAGCGGCGACGGGCGGAGGAAAATCGACGGGTAGAGGGGGGGGGGGGGTTTCTCGGCTGAGCTCACGGGTGGGGAAAAGAAAAAGAAGAAAGGTTTTGGGAAAAAATTTGGGAATTAGGAGATTCTAATTTGGGGATTTTTGGGATAGGTTTTGAAGAAGAGATTAAAAGGAATTTATTTGGTAGAAGGTTTAAGAAACACAATTGGTCTAGATTATTCAAGAGATGGTTTAGAAATTTGGAGGCTTGGGTTCAAAACTTGCTAGCTATAACCTAGATTTTCTTAACCTTTTTTTTTTTTTTTTTAAACATGTCTTTTAAGGGGTTCTTAAAATTTGCCATTCCAAGATTTTAAGATGAAGAAATAGAATTTAGGTGACACCAAAGGTAAAATTCTAAACACGACTTTTGAAACTCCGAATTCTAAGAGCTACGGTTAACAACTCAAAGGAACGATCAAACCGCAAGAGTGAGTTATTCAAAGAAAGGTTCAAGGGAAAACACACGAAAAGTGTACATTCTCAAGGTAAAAGGGTAGGCTTAAAAGGGATACCTGCAGCCTCCTCCTCCACAATGCCCTCGGCCCCAGCCTGCGACCTGCTCATCACAAACACCCTGCCCGAAGGCTTCGTCCCTCCCGAGCCACGACCGGAACTCCCTCCTAGTGGTCCTCCGGATTTGGCGCTAGATGGCAAGGCTCTCTGCTTGGACTGGAGGTGACACTCAAAAGCTTTGTGGCCCCTTTCCCCACACTTGAAGCACTGGAGCGCGTTACCTTGACAATCTTTCCCGATGTGATCTTTACCACATCTCTTGCATCTGAAGGGTCTCCCTCTCTCTCCAAAATCGGTCCGAGTCGATCCCTGGGGCTGAGGAGGAGCAGGTCTTGCCCTAAAATCTTGCCTTGGCCTCTTGAAACTTTGAGATCCACTCCCTTCGCTTCTCTTCCTAGCCAACTCATTAGGTCCTCTTTGAAGCTATTGTACTCGGTACAAATATGCTGCACTCAGATAGGCGTCATTAAGCGTCCTAGGCTTGCTCATCGTCAGGGCCTTCCTAGCTTTGTAGTTGAGCCCCGCCACGAACTTCTCCACCTTAGCCAACTCGGGGGAACCAACATCTGCGCAAAGCGAGCCAACTCGAGGAAGCGTTTGTGGTACTCCACCACTGTCGATGTTCCCTGCTGAAGGTGAAGAACCTCCTCGTACATAGCTGCCCTCACATGAGACGGATAGAACCTCTCTCGTAACTTATCCTTCAAAGCCAACCAATCGAACCCTGGTTCCTCTAGGCATGCCGGGCCTTCATGCACCCACCAAAGATCCACATCGTGGTTAAAGTAGAACGTAGCCAACTCGACGCGGCGATCCTCTGGGCAACCTACTACCGCGAAGATCTTGTCCAGGGACATGATCCATTCCTCAAGCAGAACAGGGTCTTCTTCCCCAGCAAAGACAGATGGTCTCTGACCCGAAACTAAGCGGCCCACATCCCGATTTCTGGCAGGCGGAGGTGGAGGGTTGTTGTTGTTGTTGTTGTGCAAGAGGGCATTGCTCAATGTCTGCATCGTCTGAGTCAGGTGCTGCAGGTTCTGAGCCAGCTGCTCATTTGTAGGCGTCTCCGGCATACGGGCACGGTGGCGAGGCGGAGCCATAGCAAGATTCTACAGAAACAACACGGTTACGGCACAACACGAGAAAGCTGCGCACCCTTACCCGACGCTTACACGAGGAAGCTAAAACTAAACAAGAACAACAAGACAAACACAACAAACGATAAGAAAACTCACATCTCACCGTGCGTCCTAAGAATCTTAAGTCCTAACACTTAGGCACTTATCGGTCAACTTATAATCTTAATTCACACTTAGCTTCTTAAAATCCAACTCTTAACATCTTAGGCTCAAACCTAGGCTCTGATACCAACTGTAACACCCCCGATTTTACCAACATTTTCAAAGCTTAAATTCAAAGATAAGCAAACTAAACATAAATCAACATAAAGCGGAAGCTATTATAAACCGGGAAATTTGTTATACCACACCCATAAAACCATGGGTGCACACACTAAGTCTACAACAATCCAACAAAGCAACAAATAGTCTAAGGCACACAGGCCACATCTATCTAAGGCTCATAGGCCCAAAACATAACAACTAAAGGAAGGGGGAACTACACTAGCTACCAACTTCGACTAGCGCGCTCCACAACTAAGCAAAACCTGTAAAACATAGGGATAACACCTGGTCAACGAATAATGCTGGTAACCCATCAATATGCGTTAAATAACATAGTATATAGATAGATATAAGAAAAAGCGTTTGAGACTGAGGAATACAGTATATAGTCATTTTAAAGCTAGAAGGAGATCAACATCAAGGACTCATCACACTCTCATAAAAAACCGAGGATCATCAACCTCAACAAGATAACAAATCACAAACAACAAGGGACAACATAACTCTAGATGCAACCTACCGTTCACAAGGTAGAGTTCATCATAGACATGCCTATAAGCAAGGAAATTCACATTCACATAATGACACATTCATGTTTCAAGTTCCAACCTTATGCCCTATTCCAACCTTATGGCTACCCCCCGCCTTATCTTAGTTCCAACCGTTATCTCCTAGTGCCACCCTGTACTTCTAAGTCCAACCTTATTCTGCTTGGGACCGTCGTCTCCCACCTACACCGCCAATCATTCACCCACTAGTACAAAGTGGAGCAAAGAAATCTGACTTTAGGCTACCCTTCTTTAAACAAAGGTGGTGTATTCTTAAAAAAAAAATAGGGCGGTGACATAATTGTAAATAAATGAATAAGAAACCGCTGCCTTTTTTAAAAAAGGGAAGCGGTTTATTAAAGCGGATAGACTTTCCGCTACCCTTTCTTTTAGAAAGGGCACGGAAACCAGATCGGGAAACAAAAAAAAAAGGAAAAAAGAAAAAAAAAACAAAACAAAACAAAAACCCTCAACACCTCTTCAGTTATCACAAACCAGATCTCGCTCTCACACATCTCCAACACTCTCCGCTGTTGCTCCTCACCACAGACCACACCTCCGCCGTCGACATCGCCTCTCTCACCACGCTCCCTCAGCCCCGATCAAACGCCACCGTCGACACCAAGCTAAGGACTCAAGCGCCACTCTCATCAGCCACCCATGACACTTCGCTTCTCCTCGTTAGCTACCGGTGACCAGAACCAGCCGAAAACGACGCCTCCACGTACTATCGACGACGCCTGCCACTAACATCGCCACCACCACTGTGGTTCTCAGCCGCCACCACCGGGTCCACTATTGCTAATACAATAAGTTTTTGAGTATATAAACTACAATCTCCCAAACACTGTGACAACAATGAGGTTCTCAAGGCGCTGTGTGCTGAGGCTGGCTGGATCGTCGAGCCCGATGGCACTACCTACAAGGTTCTCTTTATGCTTTGTTCGTCCTTTTCTTTCTCAACTCATTTGGGGTGCCAATGTTATTGAAATGAATTTATATGTTTCGCTTGATCTGCCTCTTCGCGTTTAGCTTGGATTTAGTTGGATCCAGAGCTTCGTGGACTAAATTAGCTCTGTTTAGACAGAGATTGCTGATATCTGTTTTCTTTTTGAGCAGATGATAGCTGTTTCGAGCTAGGTTTCAACCTGGGAATTGAAGTGTAATTTCTATTTTCTAGATGATTCTTCTTTTTGGGTTTTCGAGTATTTACTTAAGGAACCCTTAATTGCAGATACAATAAGCATGAGATTGGGTGGGGGCTGAAAATAATTAACCTGGATCTCTAATTTAGTTAAATAATGGTTTAGTTTTCTAAGAGTTTTTTCCACTTTTGGTTACTTGACTATGATACCCCCAATTTTTGTGCATGACTATTCAATTGCTCTCACATTTTGTCATCAGCTCAATTTTCCGGAGGCTTAGGTTGCCCGAGAAATTGAGCTAAGGATGAAGAAATTGTATATTCATGCACAAAATTAAAAATCTTGATAGTCGGGGACCTAATTTTGAAAGGGGTATTATAGTTGAGGAACCAAAAGTGGAAAAAACTTGTTTCGTAATAAACATCTTTGGTAGTTCTAGTATTCTATAGTAATTGTATTAGCAGATGCCAGTATGTCACTTTACTGTTTCTTGAAAAGATGTATCTCTAAAATGCAATTCAAGTTCTATAATCAGTTCTTGCTCTCATGTCTTTGTGGTTTCTCAATCTTCTCCCAAGTTTAACAATTAGTTTCTTTTGATGTTTTTGTGATTGTTCTAGTTGCTGATGACTAGTGTTATCATATGTGACTGGAGGAGAATCAGAGACTGGCGGTGGAATGCTCGTTGTTGCAGTGCAAGAGATGGGAGAGAGAGTGCTCATTGTACGACAGGGACCGAGAGGCATTGATGGTTCTACAAGTACGATGCCCTGTAGCTGGTCTGGTCTTGTAAATGTAGTATTGTCAAAGGAGGACATATATCAGAAGTACCTGGATGATACCAAGGCAAGAAAAACACATTTTGCTTCTGATGATTCTGCAACTAATGGTTCTTCGGATCCCTTTCATATCCAAGGTGATTAGATAGAGATCAGTATCCTCTTGTACAGTGAAGGAGCTGCAAGGACATTCCATATTTTTTTTCCTATTTATCTATTCATTATTACAGAGTATTATTTTAAATACCTCAATTCTTCTGATTTTTATTGGTTTTTGCCTTTTTTTGCTATTCTCTTCTGGTGGGTGGATACCCAACAGGGAGATAGGTTGGCTTACACCGTATACCAGTAACTGACATTGATTGATATACAGGAACTTAATGTACCTGAGAAAGATGTGGAGGAGCTGTTGGTCTCGCTAATATTGGATAATCGTATACAAGGACACATTGATCAGGTGAACCGGCTCCTAGAACGTGGTAACAGGTATGTAGACTTTTGAAGTGTAGTACCTGTCTATTCCAATGACTTGTTTTACCACACTATATTTCACATTTGTAATATTTTGCATGCAGGTCAAAGGGGATGAAGAAATACACTGCCGTTGATAAGTGGAACACACAGCTTAGGTCCCTCTATCAAACTGTTAGTAACCGAGTGTGTTAATTTTTGGGATTTTTTGAGAGTATATTATATTTGAAAATTCACTCCTAGTCCTGGAAAACAATAGATTACAAGCATTACATTTACTTTTGCACCGAAGATGTCCATGGGTAGTGGAGAAGTGTCCATTTACAGAGATGTTGGCTCAAATCTAGTTTAAATGTTTTTGACAAATTTGCTTACTAAGCAAATTTAAAAAGTTAAAAGTTACTTCATCATTAGCTGTGTAAATTATTAGCTGTGTAAAACTACCCCTAATAATTAGAAGAAAATAGTATAGATTCTTGTTATGATCTTGATTTTCGCCACTTGTTGAATTGATAAAACCCTACAAGTCAAAGCTCTCTTGAGTTATTTCTGATGCACCTGTATGTGTTCATAATTTAATCAGGTTTGTTTGTGGTGCGTATTAAGGTTTGACGAGCTCTTGCACGAATTAAGGGTTGGCTCTCCACTTGTGTGCCGGATCTGGTCAGCCATCACATATGAACTATCTTCTTCCTCTTATATTCTCCTCTTATATTCTCTTCTCTGTTCCCCTTTGTTTTGGGTTTCAAGTTAAAGAGAAGTTATATTTAGCCCGAGGAGACTTGAGGCTGCTTTTCATATTAAAGAAGTCTTTAACAGTTGCACTATTTATATTTGTCTGTCTAGTTTTCTGCATTGTTTACGCATTATGGGTTCATCTAGTCATTTCGATGTGTTTTCTCATCTGATGAGCATGTTGTAATGGATTATTTGATTAACTAGATAACGTGACTAATTGAAGTTATGGAAACTTGGTATTCAGGTTCCGTATCATGTATTAATGGGTATACCAGTGAATGATGAATCTGTCTTTATCTCTTCTTGGTGAAGCTTGCTTGAGATCGGACTTGACTGCCATACATGAAATCTTAGAAAAACTTGGGTATAAATATGACGAAGGAGCAGCTGCCGAGGTTTGTCTCATTACAATTATTTGATTTATTTTCATATCATGCCCTGTGTGGATATATGCTCTTCTGTCAGCTGGAGTCTATTCCTAGCTTAATTATACTGAATAATGGTGGCATCAACTAAACGCAACACATCAATGAAGTGCTGTTAGGATATCACTATAACTATGAAATTAGTGGAGGGAAGAAAACATGAGTAATAAGTTCCAATTATCCCTGTAATGATATGTGGAGTTTACAAGGAGTGCTCTGAGAGGTTTAGTAAAAGTTTTTTTGGGTACACTTCTTCAGGAAAGCATTTTGTGGGTGTAGTGGATATCTTTTTTTGTAGTAGTGAAGTATAAAGTATCTATTATCATATGCAAATTTATTGTCTCTAAGTTTTAGTTTTGTCTGCATGTCATCACTTTGAATAACAAATTATTACATTAGGCAAGTAAATTTAAATAGAACTATGTATAATTAAATTATATTTTATTAATTAACATATTTAGTAATTCGATTAATTAAATTATTTTGTAGGTATTTGAAGGAAATTCGTATTCTACCAATGAAATAGATGATATTGGAGGCTTATGAGAAAAATATTTTTTGAAAGAGTGCGTGTAACTTTTGATTTAAATTAAATATTATATTGTGTTGATAACTTATTATTGTGTTGAAAGTATTGTATTGATATAAACTATTGTATTGACACTATTTGGTTAAAAGTGTTGATAATATTATGTTTTGATAGTTTGTTGATAATATTGTGTTGATGGTTAGTATTATGTTTATATGTAATGTATGAATTTCGTACAGGAATTTTTTGAAAAATTGGGGCATTTAAAAATAAAAATAAAATTTCTTTTTTTTTTTAAAAATAATAAACAATCCGCTACCCTTCTTTTGTAAGAAGGGTAGCGGATGCTTTAAAAAATAATAATAAATTAATAGTATTCACTACCCTTCTGTTTAAAGAAGGGCAACTGATGCTTTAAAAAATAAAATAAAATAAGAGAATTCGCTACCCTTCTTTAAAAGGGTAGCGGAAAGCTCAAGGCTTTCAGCGTCCCCCACATCCGCTACCCTTGTACAAGGGTAGCGGATAACCCTTTACAATGGTAGCGGATGTGCATATCTGTACTAGTGACCGCCGAACTCTCAGTACACGAGGGTACCATTAATTATCATAGTCACAAACCACTGATCATGTGAGCAAAACTCAAGTCACAAACCACCAATCTCATTCATATTCACACATAGTCATCATCATCAAGAGGACTAAGGCCCATCAATAGCCCTAATCAAGTATCAACAAAGGGTACAACATATATATATAACAGCTGATGGTTCTCAACCAATCCAACTGCCTGTATAGCCGACCGATCGCAACCGGTCGGGTTAACACCTGATGGTTCTCAACCCATCAGATGGTCATTATAGCCAATTGATCGCAACCAATTGGACTATCATGCACAATTAACACAGAAGCCAAGCAACATGCAACCCACATTAACACATAAGGAAGGGGAATCATCGGGGAACACTTATCCTAATATAATTCATACCTAACAGACCAAATCAAACTACTCACGACACTCCTAATGGATCATACACCTTCCTCCTAGGCTAACGGGATACCAATTCAATTAGCATGCAATACACAAGAATCTATGTAACACCCCGAAATTTTAACTTTTAAAACTTATATAATAAAGGTGAATTCTCATTAAATCCCAAAATCAAACATAAGAGTGTGGGGTGCTATGCCACATATGAGCTGAAGAACTCAGATGCACAGGCTAAACTAACTAAATAACCTCAAAGCAATGTCAATACATAATAATAGCACGCAGGCCGAAAGGGAAACTAACTACTCTACGCTCCAGATCTCTAGCGCGCTCTGGTGCCTACTCATCTGTGCCTGAAAGCCAAATATATCTGTTCAGCGAGTGATGCTGGTAACCCATTCCAACGCGTTGAAACCCATTCCAGCTGTAGCCCAACACACCGCCTGATTGCTCATTCGGTGGACTACAGCCTTCCTCGGGCTTATTGGCCCTACACACCGCCTGGCGCGTCCAGGTCGGTGGGTCATAGCACACGAGGCCCATGTGGACCGCACCCAAGAAGTGAATCACTGACCGGAGCCAGGAGAATGAACCGCAGCTCATAAGTAGCCAAACAGTGGACCGCAGCCCTATATAATATTAATATACCTGACCGATCGCAACCGGTCTGGTTAACAGTTGGTATGGTCCTCAACCCATCCAACTGCCCGTATAGCCAATTTGATCGCAACCAAATTGGGGAATCATGTAACACATAACACATTATAACACATAACAGCACATTGGGAAGGGGGAGACATATAAATAAACTTACGTGTGATCATTCACATACTAAGAGTAGTCCAAAGGCGTTCATGCATTTTTCTCCTAGGCCAACGGGTTACAGATTCACTAGCATGCAATTCCTAAGACTCTTCTACGAATGGCACCCGAAACATCAAACTAGACTCAAGCACGACAAACGGGGTCCGTTGGGACACCACGGGGAATGGGGAACATCAAACCGGGAAGCCAAAGACCCGGGGTGGGTGATAAACCAGCGGGTAGCCAGTGGGTGGAGGGCCACCCGCCGACGACGAGTTTCCGGGCAGCGAGTGCCCAGCGGGCAGACGACTGCCCGCCGGCTGGCGGTCTCTCTTTGGGCAGCGGGTAGGTGGCGGGTAACCCTACCCCCACCTACCCCCCACTGACTCTTTTATCAAATACGCGTCCCGGGATTCTTTGAGGAACCCGAGACCATGCTTAGACACTTTTAAACGCAATTAACGACACCACGTAGGCATTTAATGGATCAAAAGCAAGAATCATATTGAACACACCCTAACATGACTTCTAAACATAAACAACACCCGAACATGCGAATCCCCACCCAAATATAAATCGAGAACATCTCAATACAAATTCCCAAACCAACCTAGGGCTCTAATCCCACCCAAATCATCAAAATCATATTTTAACTTCATTATCAAGATTTATCAAGAATTATCACATAAATATCAAGAACCTCTTTTTAACATCAAGATCATCAAGATCACTCATAAAATTATCACATCAATCAATCAAGATTATATCACAAATATCATAAAGAAATTCATCAAGACACAAGTATATAGAGGGAGCCAAAGAAGGAGATCATAGCAAAGAAAATAGGTTTTGTTCAGACATGGGTTACCTCTTAGCCTTAATTAATTCTCCCATGGCTATTAAGGTTCTTCCCTAAGATTTCCATCTGTTTGATCTCCCTAGGCTTGGTGGTGAGGAGTCCCTTGGGAATTCTTGTGTGGTGATATCTATTGTGGTGTGACTTCTAGGTTTCTCCTATGTCCTTATATATATATATATATATATATATATATATATATATATATATATATATATATATATATATATATATATATATATAGGATTCCTAATTAGGGTCTGAATGGTATGGGTTTACTAATTCTATTCCTTATAGGACTAAGGGCTTGGTTTCGGGATAAGGGTCCATGGTCCATGGTGGACCATATTAATTAATTAAAGGGAATCCTAACCAAATTAAATTCTTTTTAATTATTATTAACGGGATTAATTAAATAATTAATTCGAGATTCAAGGCCGTAACACGGGGTGTTACACTCCCCTCCCCCCCCCCCCCCCCCATTACAAGAAGCTTCGTCCCCGAAGCTTAGAAATCATTTTGGGGTAAAGAGTCTGAATTAGTATAGTAGTTCATAAGGAAAGTATTATATGGAATATATATACACGTACACATATAAATGCACTGGGTTTGAGCCTAACTATTGTGCTAGCAAAATGCACCAAATAACAAGGTCACGAATATGCAACACACAATATGTAAGTTTTACGGGTGAGTAATACATAACATAGAAGTCTTACACGTGGCATGTTCTTTATTTAATTATTTTATAATGATTTATCATATATGATCACAAGTTGTACCGATCATATAATTATTTATGTACCTACATGAGAGGCAAATACCACACGGGTGCAGATTCGGATAACCACATAATTATTATAAAGTATATATGCACATATATCAACACAGGCGAACCTCATTTACGAATGGATGCAGATGTTTAATTATGTAGTGTAGCATGTCGTGAGCCTAGATGCCATATATGTAGGATCTATGTCTAATCTTTGTGCTTAGCAGATTATACCAAATATTCATAGTTACAAAATAAC